CCCCCCCCCTTTCCTATTATGGCTGCAAAAAAGCAAATGGGGAAAAATAAAGGGTCCTCCTTTGAGGGCCATCGGGATGAAGACCAGGCGCCGCAAAAGGGAGGACCTTCCTGGGTAAACGGGAGGACGCGACTACAGAAAAGCGAAAAGCACGCCTAGAAATGTACTGTAAATCCGTGCTTTGTAGTGATGCTCCAAATGGGAGGATATGTAGGACCGAAGACTGAAATGTAGGGCATGGCTTGAAGGAAAAGGAGGACCTCTGGCCACCCAAACTACATAGCCAGCCAGGTAATGGCCTATGGAGGGCATCCCCAAACACAAAGCTAAAATTGTTACGCATTTATATTATATATTATATTAGTATTATATAATTATATTATATTAGCATATTTTATATACACACACACACACGTATATATATATATATTTGCTAATATAATATAATTATGTAATGCTAATATAATATAATATAATATAATATAAATGTGTGCTTCTTTGCCCTGCTAATATACCGTAATATAATTATATAATGCTAATATATTATAAATATAAATGTGTGCTTCTTTGCCCTGCTCCAATGGGAGGACATTTGGGAATTCCGCCTGGACAGAAAATGATGAAATGTAGGACGTGTCCTGGAGGAAAAGGAGGACGCCCACTCACCCTGACTATATAGCCACCTAGATAATGTAGGACATGACCAAATGCAAATCTAAAAACGCTACTATAAATGCGTGCTTCTTTGCCCTGCTCCAAATGGGAAGACATTTGGGAATTCCTCCTGGAGAGATGGCTGAAATGTAGGACGTGGCTTGGAGGAAAAGGAGGACATCCGGTCACCCTGACTACATAGCCCCTTATATCATGGCCTACATAATGGAGGACATGACCAAACAAAAGCTCAAAGGGTTCCTAGAAATATATAAGTGCATGCTTCTTAGTCCTGCTCCCAATGGAGGACACTTGGGAATGGCTCCTGGGCAGAAGGTGGAAAAAGGGAGGAGGACCCTGAGCCCTGGAAAGGAGGACATCGCCATGAAGTCGGAAGCGACATGAAGGCACACAGCAACAACAACAACAACAACAACAACAACATGGAGGAGGAGGAGGAGCAGCCATGCCAATGGTGTACTTGAGGGCCTTCTTGCTACAGTGTAGCTGCGCCCTTCCTTGGAAGAGGAGGGGGGCTTTTTTTCTTCTCCAAATTGCAAAAAGTAATAAACCCATAAATGAAATAAAATAGAAATGGAGTGCCTTTGGGATGGGAGGGTGGGTGGCGCTGGGTTTTGCGCTGCTGCTTGGCCCAGGAGAGGAGCCTCCAGGAGCAGCAAGGCATGATCTGGAGGGGGCTGGGGATGATGGTGGTGATGGTGGTTCCAAACAAAGGGAGGCCCTTGGATGAAGCTGGAGAAAAGCCCAGAGCCTCGGAGTCCCAAGAGACACCCAGGAAAGTGCCTGCAAGTTCAATAGCATTTAACCTCTGCAAAGTGGGAGGGGAGGAAAGGATGTGTGTGTCCCCCCTTTAAGACCCCACTCCTTGCAAGAGTAAAGGCTCATTTTCAATAGATCTTTGCTTTTCTGTTGGGAATTGGAGAGAAAAAGAGAGAGAGAGAAGAACAAGAACAAGAAAACACCTGATCTGAGGAGGATTTCAAAGAACTTCCTTGTTGTTGGGTGCCTTCAAATTGTTTCCCACTTAGGGCCATCCTAAAGAGGTGAACCTATCATGGGGTTTGTGAAGTCAAAGGCTTTCATGGCTGTCATCCATAGTTTTTTGTGGGTTTTTCGGACTATGTGGCCATGTTCTAGAAGAGTTTCTTTCTGACGTTTGTGTTTGGGCTGCTTTGCATAGCCCCACAGTACTGGAAATGGTTTTGGGAAGAGCCACAGCTCAAATGGAGTGACTCTAACATGTTCCTCAGTTTTGATTTGGGTCTCTGGAGGGAATCAGGGATATTTAGGTCTAAATCCTGTTCGAAATCTCGATTAGAGTAGAGCGATTGAATTAGTGGGATTTACTATCTTTACTTATTTACTAGATTTACTGTGTTGATTGACTGTTCAGCCATTGATTTAATGGGCTAATGAGTAATAATAATAATAATAATAATAATAATAATAATAATGCATTATTTATTTATGTATTACCTGTCTGTACCAATGAATGAAGGTGGGGGACACAAAACAACAACTAACAAACAAATAGCATTAGTTAAAACACTCCCAGAGTGGGGTGGAGTCTCCAGCTTTGGAAGTTTTTAATCAGAGGCTGGATGGCCATGTCAGTAGTGCTTTGATTGTGTTTTCCTGCATGGCAGAATGGGGTTGGACTGGATGGCCTTTGTGGTCTCTTCCAGCTCTATGAGTCTGTGATTCTATGGAACACAAGATCCAGGCTTTAGTGCAGGAAGGAGGTTTTATGTATGCATCTTAAGGGGGAATCTTTCTGCTTCTTTCTCAGAGGAGGAAACCCTCTTCCCTCCTGTGGAAGCCACCTCTTCTTCTTCTACTCCAGCAAAACCACTGGTGAGAAGGTAAGGATCCCGGAGAAAAGAGTGTGGCCAGCTGGCAGCCCTGGAGCAGCTGGAGAGTAGAGCTCTTGCATGCTCAATGGAGGGACAGGAAAGGGAGTTTTGACAGGTAGTGCCTTAACAGAGCTACTGAAGGAGATGGAGCCCTTTCTTCCTTTGAATCTGGCCGCCCTGTCCCAGGAGAGGAGGAGACAAAGGGGGGTTGCAGACTGCCAGAAATAGTGCAAATTG